AGGAAGAGATAGTAGCAGTTGAAATGCAATCTTAAAGATACCCCGCGCACAAGTTGAGTTATTTTACTAGGGAAGTACTAAAAGACGCATGCGTTCCAATTACTTTCGAACGAAATTCCGGCCGGGGACCGCTGGAGTAAATGACGGGCATGCGTCAAATTACTCATACGAAAATCCGCCGCACACGTGAAGTAAAATGACGCATGCGTCATTATACGTGAGTAAAATAACTCACGTGTGCGCTGGGCTTTACAGGATTAATTTAAAAGAAATTGGCTTATGGTTATACAACCTGTTGTGCATTAGCAATTAGAAATGAATACAATCGTATTTTAAAACATACCAAAGAAGTTTATTGATATTAGATACTGATCGCTAAGGGTAATCAATGTACGCTCACTGATTAAACTGCCTCTAGATGCGGTGGTATCTGGCCACTTCGTTATCTGTTGCCCTGTTCTTGACCGCTTCTATTATCAGTTTTTTAAATTCACTATAAATAGTGACGCGAATGAAATATTATAGCTCTTACTGAGTTTCATGTAAATTATACATGTATTTTATGATACCTATTAATTTATTACATGTTAGTAAATATTTGCGGTGGTTTACTGCCGAAGCCTTCACAGGCTCTGTTTTTCAATTAAATTATTCATATATGTGTGCTATACTATTAACTCTACTGCATTGTTTCACTGGGTGATTTCCTACTATAAATTTTCAACGTTTTTACGTAATTCAGCAAATAGGTGGATTTTTGACGGTAAAAGGGAATGCTCTAATTTGACTGCAAAAATGGAGAAAAGAAAAAACGTCACACTTCTAAGTGAAGTGCGCTCAAAAAGTTTTTTTTTCGAAATTTCGAAATTTGATAAATGACATTTTACGCGCATAAATGAGTCCCACAAAATAATCGCCATAAATGTAGCGTTCATAAATGAAAGTACAAGGAGGATTAAAGAGAGAAAGAGGGGTAACGTAACCGTAAGAATATGACCAAGATATCAAACTGAGAAATCCCTCGATTTGGCATATGCTACGCAGCGTTACTTCTGCATTTCAATATAGAACAGGACATGAGTGTATTGTTCGTTCTCGTTTGCGCACCGACCAGCGTCACTGTACGCGGCGGGGGTTAGTGTCTCTGCTCGGTAGGGCCATCGCGTCCTACAAAGTAAAGGGCCGGCGGCGGCGGCGGCTTTGCACGTAGCATGATCCTCTGGCGTGTCGTTCTCTCATCTAGCGCCTGGTCCGGTAGAGCTGGCGCCGCTATGTAGTGCCAAGCATGTCGCCACGTGCGCCCGACAGTAGTGGGAGAGTTTCTGTCGCCGTTCGCGCGACCTTTGTACCTCCAGTCTCCCCGTTGGCTCCGTCGGTAAGTCAGCAAGCTGCTCAGAGATGCTCTCGTAGCGCGAGTAGTGGTCGATGTGGCTGTGTGCAAAACGAGCATTATGAGCGTTATACATCCGTTCGCGTCCGGTGTATCTCTTTTACCAGACGTGTCATTATTTGTATCTTCTTCTTTACCGAATACTACCCGCGGGCCCGACGTGTTTTGTCTACGGACACAATCGGCTGTCGGTCCGCTATGATGCAAACGAGCGCCTTTTTCGAGCAGCTCACCTTTGGCATTAGGACAGTCAAACATTTGTCTAAGCTGCCGACGGCTGACGATACAGGCCCTAAGTAGCACTTTCATCAGTTACGTTGGAGAACTTTATGTAATCGGTGGGACGATTTGTTATTACTAGTTCTTTTACAGTTTTTTTGATTTAAGGGCATAGCCTCAAGAAATAGGCACCAAACTGCATAATTTTTTGTAAAAGATTTCTTGGAAGGACATCCCCCTGCACCTGGGTTTGATGCACGTACGTTGAGAATACACAGATAGTGTATATCCAATCAGCGTCATGTCGATTTATCGAAATAGCTTCTATCCTGCCGGTTCTCCGTTTGGGCGTCGGATGCACAGTATCACCCATATATACCTGGGATGCTAGTACTGTAGTCTCTATAGAAATAGCGTGTAAAGCGCATTATAAGAAGAGACAATTCTCAGGTCCTCCATCCCTCTGCCGGTGACTGGGCGATATGCATGTGCTGATGCTCGCTATAGAAAGGTCACGTTTCCTTAAGAAGTTGATCTGGTCATTCACTGTGCGCTGCCATGTGGCTCGCGGTTTATGGTACAGTTTGACGTACCACATGGCTCTATCATAATCTTCTCGAATGATAGATGACTGGTATTCTACCAATCTTCCCTTGGATCTTAATTTAGAACTAGAATATGGCAGAAAATGTGCAATGGATCGTATACGTATGTTGCCTATAAAAATAACTGACACTCAACAGAGAAAGTAAATATGGCAAGTATCGTATCTAGCAAAGAACAAGAGGAAACTACCGCACTACAACTGTGGGCGATCGGAGAAGAGTAATAATCGTAAGGCGCTAGAACGTTGGTAGGCTCACAGGCACAGCCCTTAGTCTCATATGCGAACCAATTCCGAAGTTTATCTAAAATCAGCACAAATCAATGCGCATCCCCCAGTCTCATTGATTTTCGACAAGAGCGGGCCATCGTCGCCTGCCGATGAGTACGCTTCTGCTCGGTACTGTAGGCAGTGTTTCGTCGTGCCGCACGCGATCGGATTTCCATTTTGAGGACGACATTGACTGAGCTGGGTGGTAGACGCGGTCTCTCAACGACCCGCACTGCTGCAACGCCTTGATCACGTTCGTTGTTTCGCCGTGCGACATTGATCGGTTCTATGAGGCTTGTTGGTTTAACTGGCAACGGAGGAATGCAGATATATTACTGATGGGCAGCGGCAGTGGCGGCGCGAGCGCATGCAGACAGTTTATGAGGCGGGCGGCTGCCGGAGTTAAAATGCGATGCGTGACACGGGGTGCCGGTAAGAACAGTTTAAGTAGCATCGTAACGCGGACGGAGAGTAAAACACCACCAAGCCGCTAGCAACGAGAGCGAGATGGCCCATGGCAAGACGTGCCTACGGAAACTACTCTCAAACACTCTCATTCTCTCATTTCGGTACCCACCGTCACATCGAAAACGCCTCAGTAAGTGACCGTAGCAGGATCACGAATATAATATCAACAACGCTAGAGAATGAAATGCAGTGGATCTGTTCGAGTAAATATCTGAGACTTCGGGTGCTTGGTATAGTTGGATTTTTAATAGCCAGTTCGCCATGTGACGTCTAGCGGTAAAATTTATGCATTCACCGTTAGTGATTGATTTTGAGATAAAATGAAAAACTCCTCGCATTTATACACCAGGTTCAAATGTGAAATATCTCGACACGGAATTCTGAGCTTTTACAAGTGACATGTTTACCAGCCGCGATTATATAAGCAGGGAACCTGCATCAAGTGGAAAAAGATTCTACGCTAGCTCTTTAGCTTGGCTATAGCTTATATCAGTAACGGTAATAGGAATAGCCCAAGATCAGGCGACAATGAGAGCAGGGCAAATGGCCTTGTTGCCCCATTATGGAGCCAACGGCTAAAGTTGATTGTTGTAGAACGAGAGTGGTCGTCGTAAAGCTGCCAGTAAACTCTAGTACGCTGCTGATAGTATCATGGCAACACTTCGTGCTATCGCTCATCAACCTATGTAGTCGCTGAATTTCGATGGCTGACTGACGATTTGTTAACTAAATACGTTATACACTAAACGGAAAGCATACGCTAACATATATAGGTAACGCCTCGCCCTGTCGGCACAATTTTAAAACTTAAGCCGGCTGTTCAAAACAAAATTTCATCCAGATGAAAACCCTTGCGGAAACACGATATACATGTCACAGATCACAGATATGCAGTATACTAGGCACGCTG